AGGGTGTCGAAGATTGAACTCGTCGAAGCTATTCACTGCATTCAACGAACTCATACGTGAGGTGACCAATAAAAGCCCATTCTTCTAAATTTCAGACTCTCTTTGAAACTGTTCATCTTTATCAATAGTGTACCGCACACTCCTGGCTACAATCTTAAACTCCAGGAAATACAATAAATAGGCCGCAAAGTTTCTCATATTTCGGCATACATGCTCTTTTCAGGTGAGTTCGGTAAAATGCCTTTTTTAAGCGAGGTACTGTAATAACTCACCTGAAAAGGACATGCCTGCAGAAATATAGTGTTCCATGTGGCTTATTTATTATATTTATTGGGACTTAGACTGCAGTCGAGAGTGTGCGGTATAATAGCTCGCGCTGATGGGAGATGTTACCGTGCTGACGGCTTGGCCACGCGGCATTCACGTGGCATTCAATAGGTCGGGCTATTCACAAAAAGTTTAGCGATTATATATAAAGCGACATAAGAATTTTGATGACATAGAGCAGTTCATTTAATAAAGAACATCAGAGATACTGGCGGATTTCGTAGTCTGCCTCTGTTCACGGCTTATAAACTGCTGTACCTTAGATGTCATAACATAATAGCGCATGAACGCACATGGTAGTTGTAGCAGTCTACGCAAATGCTTTTGCTAGTTTCCAATCAAGACACCTTACAGGGTGAGAGTGGACGGCCCGTAGAAAGCGAGACGCTGTAGGCTAGGCATCGCTTCCTCCTTCCACTGTCCTATCTCATCGTCGCTTCGATATATACGAATAAGATATTAGGCGAACCCCATCGCTTTCGTGCATAGGTTTACAATGAACGAGGCACCACAGCTTCTTACCGCTTCGCACAAGTAAGGTATTAAACGAACCCACCCATTTTCGTGCTTGGGTTCGCAGTGAGCGAGTATCACCTGGCTACGGTTGAACGCATCTAACACAGGCCTACGCGGCGTCCAGATGGCTGGACTTCCGCGCGATGGGAATTCGTTTCGATCGTAAAGTAGCGACAGTCGCCGATCGCTTCGCAACATCATTCAAATTGACATAAATATACCTGTGGACGAAAAAAAGTAGGAGTGTCGCGCCTCGGGATGCCGTATCTCCTACACATTGCGAGCTTCATCTTGTGCATTCGGCGCGCTCTGCAGCCGCGGCAGCCTCCACTCAGCTGCAGCTGCGGCAGCCTCCACTCAGCTGCAGCCGCAACAGCCCCCACTCAGCTGCAGCCGCGCCGGCTTCCACTCAGCTGCATCCGCAGCATCCTCCGCTCAGGTGCAGCCGCAGCAGCCTCTACCCAGCTGCAGCCGCGGCAGCCTCCACTCAGCTGCAGCCGCAGCAGCCTCTACCCAGCTACATCCGCAGCAGCCTCTACCCAGCTGCAGCCGCAGCACCTCTACCCAGCTGCAGCCGCGGCTGCCTCCACTCAGCTGCAGCCGCAGCAGCCTCCACTCAGCTGCAGCCGCGGCAGCCTCCACTCAGCTGCAGCTGCAGCAGCCTCTACCCAGCTGCAGCCGCAGCAGCCTCCACTCAGCTGCAGCCGCAGCAGCCTCCACTCAGCTGCGGCCGCGGCAGCCTCCACTTAGCTAGAGCTGCAGCAGCCTCTGCCCAGCAGCAGCCGCAGCAGCCTCCACTCAGCTGCAGCCGCAGCAGCCTCCACTCAGCTGCAGCCGCGGCAGCCTCCACTCAGCTGCAGCCGCGGCAGCCTCCACTCAGCTTTCAATTCGGGCCGGAGCGGCAGATGGCGGGCGGCTGAGGTCCTGACAGCCGACAGTCCAATTGCGATCTCCGGCGGCGGAATGTGTCCAAACGGCGTCCTCCTGATCGCTGGTGGCCTTTGTGCCGCGTGAAGCTCTATGTAGCTCTTGTAAGACCGGGGAGATTAACGGACGTCTCGGCTATACGCCCGCTCCAGCGCTGTTTGCACCCCTGTCGAATGCTGTTCTCCGCACTGAAGAGAGCTGACGGGCAAAACGTCTACTGATCTCCCTGTTTTTACAAGAGCTGCCTTCCATTCCACACTGACGTCCAGGCCAACAGCCTTCAAGATCGGCATCCTTCAAGGGTGCCGCACACCGTCATTCAGCGGACTCTTCGAGGACTCAGTCAAATGGAATCCCGTTCTTTTTCGGAATGTGTGCACGGTGAATGGTTCCCCCGGGTTGTTCACTTCAGTACACGGGCTCGGGATATAATCTTTATAAAGTACATGAGACAGCATCGTGTCATCATTACGACAGTGAGAGATCACGGCCTCAGCATCGCAGGGCGGTACTCATCCAGTAGATACTGCATTATCACCGCATTAAACGCGGGTCATTCTAATATACATGTTGCTAATCGGGCTTGGTTGACCGCTAGTCCACATTGTGTCTCCATGAGAACTGATCACCTGGATTAGCCATCAAGCAATGTCAGGGCCTGCTCATCCATGACAGGTAAAGGCTTCCGCCCGTGGTCATCAGAAGAGGCTGAGCCCTGCCTGATCTCCCACCGATTATACACTCCACTGACGACCACTATTTTTGTGGGTGTGCATGTGTGTGTGTGTGCATGCGCATGTGCGTGTACGTGTGCGTGTGCGTATGCGCGTGCATGCGTGCGTGCGTACGTTCGTGCGTGTGCGTGTCTCTGGGGCTTTTCGACGCACTCAGCTATTAAGACTTCATGGCGTCGCCTGCCTCTCCCTGTGACAGGTGAGACTGGTGTGACGGACGGGGACCGCAAGGAATCGTGCCCCGTGCCTCTGGTTACCCACACGTTCGGCACCACCCGGCATGCATCTGACTACTATCAAGAGAACTATCAGGCTTCAGCGCGAATAGACCCACCGAGCTTCAATCCAGCTCCGACGTCCACCGAGAACTCCCCGAGCTGCTGAGCTCCACCGCAGACCGACAACTCACCGAGCTGCCGAGCTCTGCTGCAGACCGACAACTCACCGAGCTGCTGAACTCCGCTGCAGACCGACAATTCACCGAGCTGCTGAGCTCCTCTGTAAACCGACAACTCACTGAGCTGCTGAGCTCCATTGCTGACCGACAACTCACCGAGCTGCCGAGCTTCCTGTAGACCGACAACTCACCGAGCTGCAGACCCCACTGCCGACGCAAGCCGCCAGCAGGGAGCAGAAGAAGCAGTGTCGGATGAGGGCCATCGTGGCGCCGCTGCGCCGCAGCGGCCGGTGTCGCCACCGGCCGGGCCCGTCACAGCGCGACCGAACACTGAACCCACACGGCGTCTGGCGAGCGGCGCGCGCCGGCCGCCGCGCTGACCATCACACCGCCAAGGGAGCACCGGCGCGCCCTGCAGCCCGGCACGCTACGGCCGTACACCGCTGCAACGCCGCGTGTCGTCGCGCGGACACCTGTTCCCACGGAAGGCGACTGGCGACCGGAAACGCACCGGGTCGCTGCGGCCGGCGCCGCACCTCCGTGTGATCGCCGCGAAGGCCGCGGCGCGCCGCCCGCGCGCATCCATCGCCTCGGGCGCGGACAGAGCGGGCCGGCGTTACCTGGCGTCGTGAGCGCCATCTATTAGAAATATCATAAACTGCTAGTCTCAGCGCGAATAGGCGTGTTTCTCCAACATTTGCCATGGAATGTTATGCAGCAAATAGTCTGTAGTGGCAAAATTCGACGATGAAGAGTCGCATTGAGGGACTCAGTGTAATAATTGTCGATTAATCTATTTCAGAAGCACACTCAGAGGGTATAAAAATCCGAGGCTCCAGCCGAATCGAAGTTTTCTGTCAAATAGCTCTACCATGGGAATGGAATAGAAACGATCGCGAATCACGCCCGAAACGAACAGGCGTTCTCAATACCAGACCTCCGTGTGAGCCTCCGGACCTCCGTAACTGAATTAAACGGAAAATTGAATTAGTGTGAACTGCAAGCGACGCTTCATCGATGTAAATCGCCCCGAAATGGCCGTGGAAGTCCCGATACGGAACCCCTACTTGGGAAAGCAGGATTTTTCGCGTTTTTATGAATGTGGATGCGCCGGCTTTCTTGCAGGATCCTATCTGCGATAGAACACCGCCGTCGGTGACGGATAACGTGCACCGAACACGCGTTCAATGGAATCACGAGTTCTTACGATGCAAAAACTTATGAAAACACAAAAGGGTTGAGGACCTTTCTCTTGCCCATATCAAGAAACATCGAAATCGGCAAATCTCGTCCTAGACCAGTGCAATGCAGATGAAGCGATGCAGAAAGAGTGGAGCAGGCAGGGTGCAGCCAGAGTAGATTCAGGTCGTTTATCGCGCGGAGGACCGACGTTTGATCGCAAAACGATCCGTTCAGCACTGTCCCCCTGATCACGGCGCGATAACACAATGGCGTAGCTCGGTCAGCACAGTTACGAGTAGAGGTACCTATGCTGTTACCGAAACAAAATAAACGCGGATACATTCTGGACCAGAAAGCTAAGGCATCAACTGAACCATGCTTAACTTCTATTAGTTTTAAAGCTAATTTACTAGTCTTTATCGACGATGCCAATGGTAACCTAGTGCCATCTGCGCCGTACCGGATGCACGCGTGGCTGAGGTGTCTGTTCGCGCAGCAGAAGCCTTCTCTGCACATTTACGGCGCATCCAGTGACCAGCGGCAACGAAACACTGTTCACGCAAGACGGGTCGTTATTATTATAATATGGGCAGGCATCGTGTAAAATACAGTTATATCTGCACCACACTAGTTCCGTAATGCAGAGGGGCTCCGACCAAAACAATTGCTTTCCCCGCGCTCTACAGGTGTTGCCAGCGATGTAGCGGTGGGGTGAGCTACTTTATTTATACGCTATGAGTTATTCATACGTTCACCACGACACGGCTGTCACAGTCACAGAACTCGACACAGCCGATCCGAGGAAACCACATCGGGAACGAAACATGCGGTTTGTACACATCAGCACATCTCGCTATGCTGTGGGAAGGAGTCTGTTGACGGTTAATGTTGGCTGTCGTTAAGTTTTCCCCTATTGGTAACGCCGACCACGATTGATCGCCGATTCCGCGGCCGATCCCCGTGTGGATGTCAGCCGACCGCTGTCGACGATCCCGGCGCACGGCAAATCTATCGACACCGGCCCCGACTAGTCCATCGCTCAGCGCAGCAGTTCCGGAGGGAGGAAGGGGGGGCGGGGGGGGGGGCACTCAGAGTCTGTCCGGCGGTACGACCGTGTGCCGGTGAAGCCGACACTGACGTATCTCGTGGTGCTCACGACCTCGGGCCGGGCCTCAGCGCCGCCTGGCGAGAACTGCCACCCAGTGGCGACCTGTGAAGTCGACCACGGCCGGCAGCGGTGCTCGGGCCGTGCCAGCTATCCAGCGGCATTGGGCCGATGGCGGACCGAATGCAGTCAAAGCTGCTATGTAGGTAACTGGGCCTCGCGCAGTGAGCAGAGCTAATGGCTCACGGAATATCCAGTGCGCCATGAGCATGCTAACGACCACCAAGAAGATCAAAGCGTTGTGAAGTGGTCAACGGGACAAAACAGACTGATTAAGAAAGCCGTTAAGTGTAGCCTGTCATAGGGTCAGTGCAGGGCGTGTGAAGATTTTCAGGAAAAACCAAGGTTAGTGCGCTGCAAACGCGCCGCCAAACTTGTTGCATGACAGAACACAACATCACGTGTCGCTGATCTGCTCATTCTTGCATGTCTACCGCTAATGTTTTAGCTTTAACATTTAGCCGCGTATATGTCAACGCAGGAGAAGAAAATAATAAGTGAGCGGCACGTGTCCTCGGGACTGCGACATGCGCACGCACTGGGCTGAGTTGACGCGTTCTTGTACGGCTAGTACGCAAATTCCATGGCCGAGGAGCCTGTTGGAGATCTGGGATGAGAGGCCGTCGGGCTGGACTTGGACATCGTAGAAAAGGAAACGTGATCGTGGGACCAGACGGAGACCTGCCGTGACATCTCTACGCCTGTTAAACATTCACCAGCTCAGTGGCCCAATGTGACCATGACCGAATTTTGACCACGTAAATCACTTTATTTGGTTTTGTCGATGCGTCTTCTCTGGCAGTTTCAAAACGTTTTAAACGGACTGCAACATCCATCGTAAATGTACGCCCACTTAATCCTTGCATGACTCGCGGCGAGACGCAGGTTGGGTGGGGGTGCGTGCCAGTAACGCCCTATCACACAGCAGCAGGGGCGCCGCCCACCACCGACAACAATGAGTGCATCGTCGGTCACTTCCATGCTGGCCGGTCGTCTGCGCATCAGTCCCGCCCGCCAGAGCGCTATGGATTGTCGCGCGGCGCCTCCTATCGATTCCCTGCGGTCTCCAAGCGAATTTAACAAACATTGCGCGCCGTTACCGGCAGTGCGGCGCGGCCGAGCAGCGCCACTGTCCGGGCCGGCTCCGCGCGGTCGCGTACCCCTGGCAACGGCGCGTTCGAGCGTCAACAGACAGGGCACCGCCGGCGCCAGTGGTGGCGTGAGTTCGCAGCCGACGGCAGCGTCGCCGACCCCCGAGCCTCCAGCGGCGTCAGACGGCCGGCCGGGACTGCAGAGCGCGCAGAGCCGCCCGGACCCAGCTACAGTCGACGGGGCCTGCTCCACTGCAGCCACCTCGGGCAGTGGGCAGTGCGTGGTGTCACTGGGTAAATATGGCTGCGGCCGTTGCAGGCGCGGTGGGCGGCGAGGCGTTCGCCCGCGGCATGCGCGCGGCGGGTTACAGGCCGTCCCGGAGTCGGACTAGCGTCATGAAGTCCGGCCCTCGCGATTCTTGCAGCTAGCGAATGCGCAAGGTTTTCTTTGTGGGCAACAGGGGCCTGAGCGGGGCCAGGCCCCTAACCAACAGGGGCCTGAGCGGCATCGTTCTGCTGAAAGCGATGCACCAATGCACTCCATGTGCATCTGCTGCCCTGCGCGGCCTGCTTTCCGTGGCTCCTACCACTTTCTTCATGACTAGTCATTTACTCTAAGATCGACATCTTCAATGCAGATTGAAAACCAGATGATTTCTGCAATCGTCACGGAAGAGGGATTTTTTCTTCAGATGCACAAGGTTTAACATCCTTTAGCGTCAATAGCACCGGGATCGGCAACATTTGTCTTCTACCTAGAATTTGTGAAGCTTCCGCCCTCCTTGCCTCTGTTCCCTGTCAGAAATATTTTCAGAGATCACCAACAACCGTGGCTGTTGCCGTGAACCTTGGAGCGTCACTTTGAAGAAGCGACCATGGTGAGGGGCCCATGCACGGTAGGTTTGCTTTTAGTTACACATTGTAGAGTTCAGTCTACTCTGTTCAGTAGAGTAGACGGTAGCGGAGCACGCTTACATTTTCTGGTACGGTGGATGCACGTCCACAGAGCTGATATCACTTTCGATTTCAACCTCCCAGATGAACACTTTGTTATATGTTTGGGTGGCGTAGATTGCTAGGATTATCATATGCGAATAAAACAAATCCATTTTGACCACCTGGCATTGCCTCTAGTAGGTCCTCATGCAACCAGCTTTGCTGCTTGGCAGTCAGATAATTTAAAAATTTCAATATACGCGCATGTTTTTTGTAGTTTTCTGTTGCCGACAAATCTGTTTGTGTATGTACCAATGCATAGCGAGGGATACGGGTATCTATACTTAGCTGTCTTATAAGGCAGGAAATAAAAGTATGAGCCCCGTAAACGGTACGGTAATCATCTGTATTTCTATATTAACCTTCGTTCACAGCGTCATTGTTGTTTTGCATGCCTGAGTATAGATAATGACACTACCCAAGCAGAGCTGGAAAGTTATGCAGGACACTTAGCTCCAGCACTGAAGCATGTGTGGAAGGAGCTATAGTTAGTGCGCTAAGCCGTCCTTAGCTAAGACAAAGATGTCCGACTTCGGAATCGCAAGAGTATTTCACTTCCTCTTTGATAAGTTATCACCTGTTTTGTGAACTCTGCAAAAGGGCATCTCACAGATAGGGTGTGGTGAGTTTCCCAGGGTATGGTCCCTTGCCGTATTAGACAATGGTCAACCGCCCGGTATCCCGTGTAACATTCAACAGTAACTGCTATTGATATGAGTCACTGTCAAGGACTGCACGACATAAGTGCTGCTATCTATTTCCTTGTTTCATTATTTTCAGTTGCCAGCCGTTAAACAACACGGCTGGTGACTGGCATTATTTTGTCCGCCGATTATCTAGTGCTGCAATAACTCCATTCCGCGAGCAATCCCTCAGAATGATAGCAGGACTGCAGCTTACACAGCAAACCAACGAATGCCACGCGTTGAGGCCTTTCAGTAATCTTCAAATAACTCTGCTATGTGCGTGGTTCCTAAAACTAAAAGGCTGCTAAGCTCTGAGATACATTATGTGGGCTCTCTCCTCTAAACCACGCAATGTCCTCATCGCGGCAGAGGTTTTGCATTGGCGGTTCGTGGCTTCTGATCATTTACATGAACGTAGCTCACCCGGGCCTGAGATCGCATTCGTAGTCAAGTTTTGTATGCCTGTTTCACTATACGTTGCGCGAGGAGATCCACGTCTCGTAAAACTCGATCTGTAGCCAGTTTCTCAAAACAGAAATTCGTAGATTTTTGACGCAAATCGTATATTTTTGGCATACAATCATAAAATCCAGTTTCTCAAAGCAAAAATTACAACTTACAACTACAATCTACAACACTGAAAAAAATACACAAAAAATGTACAATCTACGACACAAATATATGCAAACAATCTTGCATGAGTTTCTCAAAGCCCAGAACAAATGTGCGACAGAACTTAATTTTGATAAGTCCTTGGTGAATTTGGCAATGCAATCAACGCAAGCATTTGTGTCATAGATCATAACACTGATCATAGGACTGCTACTTATTGAAAGACATGTTGCTGCAGTGGCAAGCCTAAACAACATACAACAGCTGCTAAAGGCATAACAGAGCATGAAGCTTGAATGTGAGCAGGTAATAGTGAGTGTTCCAGTCTTTGAGGCAAGAAGCCCTGGGTAGGGCATGCCAAGACCAAAAGATAACACAAAACTGCCTGGTCAAGGAGCTTCCTTTGCAAGAACATTAAAATACATCACAATTGAGAGAAATTTGTGTGGATGCCACAATACTTGTTATGTATACCATACATTCTATGCCCATGTATGTTGTATTCCAGACACTTTCGATGTGAGGTATGGGCAGCAGCATCACCTATAGTGCCTGCCCTAGTTGGAAACATGATGTGCAACAAATGCTAATAAAATAGCACCGCATAACACACGGATTATACTCTAAAAATGATTTAATTTGGATAACATAGCTGCACACATATTGTGCATCACAATGCCATACAGCAGCAGCTAGCCTGCATAAAATCATACCATAAAAACATACTCTCAATGATCAGTCATATAGAGAGTCTGCTCCCAATGAGAAGTACAGCAGGCTGCTTGTGATTGGATTCATGAATGGCCCTTTTTCAGTGCTCAGTGATAGCTCATGTTTACTTTACATGCTCCCTTAAGCCCTGAAAGCTAAGGGCTGACAGTCCCACATTCAATGCCCAGGATATGCTTAGTAAGCACAGACATGTACTTACTATTCACATGATCTTGTCCACAATCACTATGCAAAATAAAGCCTCCATGAGTGGAACATTTTAGGATGCACCTGAACATTGAAGGAGCTGATGAAGGGAAGAAAGCTTCCTTCACCGAATTTATCAATTATGGACAATATTGCCACCAAAACCAGCCCCAGTTCGGCACGTATCTCCACAAGGCCACACACATCGACAAAAGGTGTTGCTCTGTTTATTGCGTAGCACGGAGACTAGCACACACAGTGCGACGATGGCAAAAAAACCGCGCAGCGGTCGACGCAACTAAAGGGTGTTACTGAAAAGTGGGTGCGCACCATCGTAGGCGAGTCGACGGCCAATGGCCTCACACAAATCCCTTACGGACGGGGAGCTGTCTCCACTTTCTCTCTCTCTCTCTTTCCTTGAAGACTGCCAACCGTACTCTTCCTTTGTTCATGGTCGTCACTGGGGATTTAGGACGCACTCAGCTGGTTCGGCTAGATGGTGTCAACTGCAGCTCATCCTGGCGGAAACGCGGGCACCACGGGTAAACAAACCCCGCGCCCAGACGCGTCAACCACTGCACCACCGGCACCTGTCCCTTTGCTTTCATATCCTAATAAGCGTTGCTTTTCAACCAAAGCGTCATAATTGTAGCTGGAGATAATCTCCCCAAAATCGTAAGCTTACGTGGCTGGTTTGATTTCGAGCCAGGCAACAGAAAACTTATATATTATTTTGTCTTAATCGATGGCAGTTCGGGTGCATGTAACACATACTCAAAACATAAGACGTCTGTTTATGGCTGCTGGAATTATCTCAAGTTTGGTGGTTGTTGTCCTGGCAATGGAATGCGCAAATCAACGCCACTGCCAAATATACAAGCTACGACGAAGGTCACGTGACGGTTTTGAGAAACTGGCTTAATGTGTAGTTTGTAAAATCGAAAGTACACATTAATACTTGGGGTGAGATTGTACCTTCGCTTTGAGAAACTGGCTACTGGTCGAGTTATTGAGGTTTTCCCAGCACGCATTTTTCAATGTCCGTGCATTGTTTCGTCCCCGTTTGTTTTCGGATTTCCACTTTATTCAGCCTCAGCACCTGAGCTTTCTCGTGCGAAGATGGCGTTAATGCCTCCGAATGCCCAGCCCTGAGGAAGCCTCGCCTTCTGTTGTTTGCTTTGGCTAGGGGCACGGCGACTCCAGCACCATTTGAGCGTCGGTTCTGTTCCGGCAGTTGGTCGAGCCTATCCGGAGGTCAGTAGTCTTTCAGCGACCATAGTCATCAACGAGTGAAAACCCGTCCCCTTCCGTGGGTCTCCTGCTCCATCAACGAGGGAGAACTCATCCCCTTCCGTGGGTCTCCTGCTCCATCAACAAGTGAGAGTCCGTCCCTTTTCATGGGTCTCCTGTTCCATCAACGAGTGAGAACCCGTCCCCTTCCGTTGGTCACATGTTCCATCAACCAGTGAGAACTCATACCCTTCCGTAGGTCACCTGCCCCATCAACGAGTGAAAACCCATCCCTTTTCGCGGGTCTCCTGTTCCATCTATCCTATGGACGTCGGATTACTGTAGTGATTCGTCTGCCATCAGCGACGAGGCAAAATCTACGTCGACGAAGATGGCATCGGAATGCCACATGTAGCAAGCTCTGAGGAATAGCTATGGGGCTTCCTGTGGTCGCGCACTTGTGTACCACCGATCAGAATCCCTGCCAACTCGTAGCCGGTCATCCGGCCGCGTGCATTCGCAGCCATCTAGTTGTCCACTGCTGTGTTGTAGACTGCTTTGAGAGACTTAAGGCAGACAACGTCTAGAGGTTACATTATATGAGTGCAGAATGAGGGCGGCTTCAGGATCTCATCTCACTGCCCCTCGCAAAGAACGATCCCAAGAGGCTGCTATGGCCGTGGTTGCCATCCAATATAATGATCCGCGAAGTCGGGGACGCTGGGCTTCACTGTGCCTTTAAAGTGACGGGGCAACGCCTTGACGCAGTCCTCGTTTGGTCCTGCCGTACTTTGTGGATATCCCCATGGACCCAGGTGGTGCTCCGTTCGGTAGAGGCTCAGATGTCCTTGAACGAGAGTAGGTCGACATTTGTTGGACAAAATGCCCGACTCCGTTCGCTATCGCGGCACACATCACTGCTACGGTCTTACTGTGTCCAGCTCTGGTTATCTTAACCCCTTTCTATCTTGTCCCTTTGGAGCGATCACTTTCACAGGCCCCTGAAATGTCCAAATACTGGTGTCGTTTACATTGGGCTCATGCAGTGGGGCATAGCCCTGCGTTCGCAGCTTTTTACAGGTACCATTGAACCCTTGCAGCTGTGGATGATTGAAACTGACCGCTCACGCAACGGACCCAGGCGTTCTGATTTCAGGATACAGATGCCGAATGAGGAAGTCGAGTATTACCCAGTATTGGGCTAGAAAATTACTTACCATGAACATTAGGCAGCACGGAGATCCTGCACGAACCTCACAAGCATCCTGGGTATTCAGGTTCTCACGTCTAATTCTCAGCACTGCTAAGGGCTGCACCAAACACGTGGGGTAGTGCGAAATATTTCAATGACCCATTCCCAATATCGGGATAAAAAATAAATATGTTCGCGAGAAAATTCATTGATTGTTAGTGGTAGGCAGCGTGTGCACATGGTCAGAACGTTTTCTGAATTGACGTGCCTTGGTCTTTTTTGTTTTGCTTCACCTTCTTTACTCGTGATCCTAAGTATCTACACCTTCAAACACCGATTATCTAAGACATAACCAACGTATCAGCTAGTTATCACAGTGGGGCTTCACGTTGCCATCACTGTCCATGCGCACCATTTGTGCTAGCGTGTCCTGACTGTTGGAAGTGTTCTTCATTCCCTTTCCCTCGCTCAACTCACGGAAGACTTGCTTTAAGCTAGCTTCGCCATGACCTTCGCGGGACAGTTTCGTCCACGAACCAGGTCTGCGAGGGTAATATGGGCATTTATATAAGAAATACGACGAAAGGAGATATGGGGCCAACATACTCTGATACCCATGCCCGTTGTAATAAATAGTGGATACTTGTGAATTGATAACGGGAGTGATGTCTGAGATGGGGAAATTGGGAGGCTGAGTATTTAGGTATCCCTCATTCACAACCGCCCGCAACGCAGTGTGGCGCAGGTCCGCCAGTACGGGATAGAACCTGGAGTCATAATTACTTGCTTGCCCAATCGCTCAAGATGAGAATGATGTATGTTGCACGCTGTGTGCGTAACATGATGTTTACGTAAAGTACGTTGCACTAAAAAATGGGTCTGGAAAATAGTTACTAATTCCATCGTTTGTCATTTGTATCGCAGCGTGTTCCTATTCCATTGTTGTGGGATCCCGATGCAATGACAGTGAAAAATGTCATTGTGATTGAAAACTTTGTGTGAAAGTGAAGTGAAAGTGAAAACTTTACACCTCGGGGAAGGTACACATGCGATCCCTGCTTTGTTTCTGTCCATGCAGACAAATGGGTTTAATACCGCGTTTTTCAGGGTTGGGAAGGGATAGCTACTGCACTTAAGGGCTCTGTGATTATGGGTCGTCCGAATGCCACAATGGCCCTTTTCAGGCCGGAACAGGCCATCAGCAGTCAAAAATGGGCATTCTGCAGGTCAGAATGGACGGTCTACAGACTCAGAAGTGCCCTCTTTTGGACAAAAGGGTTCTTAACAGGCCAGACTGAGCCCTCAATAGGTCAGAATAGGTTTTTAAAGGCTTACATAATTCCTTTACAGTTGAGAATCAGCCCGAACATACCAGAATGGATCATCTTCAGACCCTCCAAGTTAGGGGAGCGGTAGGGGCGCCGTTCCTCCCCCCAGCTTTCCATTTGGAGAGATAAGCTGCCCCCACTGCCCCTTCCCCCCCCCCTCGGTTTTCATGCTCTAAAACAATTGTGTGTCTTACTTACCCCGGGCATCATGTCCCATTGTCCCGTAAATACCAGACACGCTCGGGAGCAGGGTTGTAATTTCGAACAAGATCGTAATTTCAAGATGCTTTTGCAATGCGACGGTATCGAAAAAGGAAACAAGGCATTGATGGCATAACAACAGGGATACATTAAAGCGAGGAGGCAAACAAAGTTAAAACAAAAAACATGATTAAGTTCGCTGGCTTGACATTCCTTTCAAGGATATACCTTTGCGTTTAATCGCAGCGTGACATTGATGAAATTGATGTGATTCTTCGTTGTCTTGAACGTAAAAAAGCCAGCAAACAGCGAGGCAGTAATATTTATTGAGTTTTGTTCCTAAACATCGGCTTGAAGCGCACCTGAAGCTGCCCAGCCAGAGCAATACTATTACTAAAACAACTTTTGTCCTGTCCCTTGGTAGGACTAATATCTCCCTATGCGATAGTTTCCTCCAGATTTTATTTTTGCCCTCGTAGATACTAGGTATAGCAACCATCATTATTTCAGCACTACTTGTTGGTTAAGCACTAGAAACCAGGCAAATCAATATGGTGGGAACGTGAAATGAAAGACTTAAAAAATGTTTATGCACGAGCCCTACATGCGTGTCATTCACTGTCTTGGCCACCTTTGTATTTAGCATACAGATATAAACATTCAATCCAAGAACGTTGCCTACCGTGTTGATTTAAGGTTGTCGTTATCCTCAGGAAATGTCTTGCTGTCTTGGTCGCCTTTGAATTCAACATACATATACAAACATTCAATTAAAAAACGTTGCCTACCGTGCTCATTTAAGGTTATCGTTATTCTCAGGAAATAGAAGAAATTTGGTGCGGAAAAAGTATCTTTGATTGCTGTCTTAAAATGTTGTTACTCCTACGCCGCTCAGAACGATAAATGAACCACACGGTTTTTTGGTACACTTGCCAAATGTCATAGCTGGCACTAAAACGATGACTAACTTGGACTGGCTTCCTATTGCAGCAAGCATACCACTGAGATGCGAACATGTCTACTTGTTCTATTAATTTTGCCACTTAGTTTAGCAAAAGGTAAGTGACCGCCTGCTAGTGTCACAACATGAAGTATAGGTACCGGTTTTTGTGAATGTCCAAACTTGCAACCAGTGCCGGCATGGAAGTCCAGATGTGGGTTCCAGGAACTGCTAACGACATTCGAACCGAGCAAAGAACAAATAACGACCTGGTTTTTGTCCGATATTGATAAACTTCCAAACCTTGAACTTGAAAGCAAATTTAAAATGCTCGTGGAAACTTCTATTTATATGTGAGAAGATCGGATTTCCCTGTTCGGGATAGGACCGTGTTAAATTTCGGGTAAATGTACCATTTCACGCTGAACACAAATAATTCGTCTTGAAAGATGGAAAGTAACAAGGAAGCGTGGTCACGCTAAACTTGAATTCATGTGTGAATATGCTGGATTCAACAACATACAGCTGCACAAGATTAGTTACTCTCAATATCATAAAGTCATGTCAAATCTTCAGTCTTCACATCTCACATCTTCACATCTGGCGTGCGGCACCAGACGTAAAACCAGGTCGAGCTGTGATCTGAGCCACACTGGCATGCACACCCGTAACACAGATGTCACAGCACTAGCTCGAGGGGGACTGGGCGTGTCCAGCGGGCTGCTGCGGGCGAAGCCGGGGCCTGTGCGCCACTCGCGGCGGATCACACTGGCCATCAATGTGACGGTGTACACGCGCACGGACCAGCTTACTGACCATGACGTCAGTAACCCGCCCCCTAAACGCCGCGCAGCATGCGCTGATTGCTTGTAACGCCTCCGAACACTTTTCAGAATATTTCCCCGACAAGGCCTCCGTCATCAACAACAAGCATTTGGCCTTCTATCAGCGAGAGGACTTCTATCTTGTGACCCTTCCGTGTGCGATAGGTGCGTTCGGTGTGCACCATTGTGTCATCTCAAAATGTGCAGAGCTTCAAAGGGGGGTATTGATAGCATGAGCGCATTGGCCGCCAGGCGTAGCGTGACACGAGCTTTAGTAGACCTCGACACATGTCTGATGTAACGTGCTTGATCGATGCTGGAAGCTACTCATCACTAAGCACCGTGGCGTACCAGCAACGGAATTTTACTTCGTAGCAAAAGCTACGCCACGCAGTTGTCAACGGCTGCAAATATTGATTCGTTCCAATCATGCTGAATGTAGCGCAATCTAAGTTATTTGAACATTGCCGCATGCAGAATGGTGGATTCAGTGTTTACCACGTGTGTTTCATCAAGCGACACTATCCGACCGTCAAATGTTGGTTCGTCATTGCACACATCAACAAAAAAGCTGGATGGGTGGTTTTGCACAAACTTCAAATATGACTTAATATTGTAGGGAATACTCCACATTGCGAAAATGCCGCTCGGTAACCAGAGTCAACTTTGCTATCGCATGGAATATTGCATACAACATCAGTATTTATTCAGCTTCGGGTTCCGCACTTTTAAGTAGAAGTAACCCCACCTTCAGGCACGGAATCATCTCGCGATTCCATGTGGGACTGCTTGGAATAAATATTTCAGAGGTGCTAGTGGAGCTCATTGTCATGGGTGCTGTAGAGAAGCCCATTGAACCACTTAACTTGATGCGTTTGGAAAGCAACTTCTGCTAAATACAGCATCCAATCTGAATTTGCTGTACGTTGTATCTCGGCTCTGCAAGCTTCGAGGCTCAGTATCACTTGCAACTCCAAAAGCTGGTGCTTCCTTCGCACAACAATTTTTTTATTAACACGAGGCGAAGCTCGCTCCTCCCCGCTCCCTTTTAGGAGAGACGGATGGCGTTGCATCTGCGTTCGCGGCACAGCGGAACAAATGGAGTTCTTGAAAAAAGAGCTTGCATGTCTGCTCCAGCATGGGGCATGGCACGTAGTGTGGTTATTCCTGCATCATTTTTTTAAGATGTGTTGGTTACAAAACCACGCGCGTAAGTACCTGGGTGAAGAATCTAATAAGATGCGTAATGCGTGAAAACACGCATTATGAAAAACGGTAATTGTAATGCAACGTGAAAGAAGCTAGAAGAAACTTCAAAACAAGCAAAAAACATAAACAAAAGTGCAACACACAAGCGAAGCTCTGCCGGTTTGGAAATTCTGGGCAACAGCTTATTACGGCGGGGCTCCCCCTGTTGCGTGTTCCGCTGACTCGTGTTCCTGCTGCAAGAGCGCTCCACTTCGTCTAATACGTGCTTGCTCACCTGCGCTCACCTGATCAAGCGCCGCAGCGGCGCTATGTCACGTCTGCCCCGTGCACTGCTGACCTGTATCTCTATTGCAGCGGCGCTCTGCCTGGTCTGCTGCGTGCTCTGCTGCACATTGTACGCGCGGGAGGGTATCTGCCACCTGTTCGACTTCCCCGAGAACCTGAAGCGACGTGGAACCGAACACTTCCTGTCCGTGGACGAGTTCCTAGAGCTGGAACGGCGGCGCCAGCTCGGACTGCCCTGCGACTCGCTGCTGGCGCTAGAGGAGCAGCGGCGAGCAGAGGCGCTGGGTGAGGAACCCCCCGAGGCGCTGGGTGAAGAGGCCCCCGAGGCACCGGGTGAGGAGGCCCCCGAGGCGTCGGGTGAGGAGGCCCCAGAGGCGCCGGGTGAGGAGGCCCCCGAGGCGCTGGGTGAGGAGGCCCCCGAGTGGCCGACCGACCAGCCGGCGCCGACCGACGTCGCAGAGCCGATGACCGGCGGCGAGGCGCCCGACGGCGGAGGGGCACTGCCACTGGACGCAGAGGGCGAGGGCGAGGTGCCGACCGAAGCTGTGAACGCGGAGGGCGACGGAGAGGCCCCGCTCCAGAACGGCGATGGGACTGCGGCGACGGAGGGGTCTCCGCTGCGTCTGTCGTCTGCGTCGGCCGGATCGGGCGCGGGTGTGACGACCACACCGTCTCAGCAGGGTGTGCCGACGGCGCGCAGGTCTGTGTCCTTGGAGCGGCCGGGGGTCAGGGGTGTGGGCGGAGAGGAGGACTCTGGTCACCGCTCGCGCCTGTCTGCCCGAGCGCCCGCCTCGGACAGCGCGCTGCAGCGCCGGTCAGTTGGCGATGCCACGGCGAACCTGCCCGTGCGGTCGTCCACCAACCGGTTCAGTGCCGACGGACGTCCACGATCTTCGAGAGGGTACGGTCCTTCCCTGTCTCACCTCGTGCCGGAGGACGTGGACGGCCGGCCGGTGGAGGACGCGCGGTATCAAGACCTGGCGGGACAGCGAAGACCGAGTCGGCGGAGTGACGCGTACGCAGTCGCTCCGTCGGACCCCGCGCTCTCGCGGCGCTCCGATCTGGGGGTGCCGTGGAGGGAGGGCGTTGCGGCAGACAGAGAGCCTCCTCTCCGGCCACCTGGCGCCCAGTGGTCGGACGGAAGGCCCGCTCTTGACGAGCAGGGCTTCCCTCTGGCGCAGGGACGAAGGTCTTTAATACTGGCGACGTCAACCGGTGCGCATGGGCCCGTTGAAGGCGGCCAAGGGCTTCGTGGTAGGCAAGCCAGCTTCACACCGCTCAACCGCCAAGCCGTGGGTAGTGCTCGTAGTCCCCCCGACTCTCACGCGTTTGTCACCGGTTCTCCGTCCACCCTGGGTCAACGTGGCGTCTCGGCTGCTGGTGAAGACGGTCGGCATGTCATTCTCACTCCATCTGGGCACCATCTCTACCACCCGGACATTAACGGAGACATGCCGTTATCTGTGAGTGACCAGATATTGCAGCACGAGCTGCGAGCTCAGGGCGCTGACCCAGCCCGGTACGGGTCTCCTGCTCAAGGAAGGGGGTCGTTGTCAGCTGAGTCCTCCCAAAGACAGCTGTCTCGCCAATATGAACCCATGGCTCAGGACCCAGACGGCCGTGTACGCAGATATCCAGACGGGGAACGAGACCCCCGCAGTTATGAATACCCTCTGAGAGGCCCAGGTCTTCAGGAATATGAGTATCCATACCAGGGGCGTCGATCCCAGCAGTACGAGTATTCAGCTCAGGAGCCATCCCTGCACGGGTATGACCACCCTGTCCGGGGACCAGCTCTGCAGAGATACGAAGAACCGGAGTTTCGGCGGTACGAACGTCCTGACCGAGACGCCTTGGACCAAAATCGCATACGAGCTTTTGCGTCATACGACCGTGCTGACCGCGTGCCTTCGGCGCTGTTGCGGCCGGACCAAACGCACAGGCCCGGAGACGCCTCGACCCTGACCCTGTCGCAGATCGCCGTCTCCCGGCGCTCGCTGTCCGGGGTGCCAATCGACGCCCGGTACGGTCCGCGTCACGACCCGCGCAGCCCCGGATCGAGCCCCGGCGAGCCGGCCGCTGCCGGCCGGTCGCGGGCCCGAGGTGGCGGACATGGCCGGGCGGCCTGAGCCGCTGACGGCGGACGGGTCGCGCCGGCAGGTGGCGCTCGGGCCGGACCGCAGGAGCTCACACCAGCTAGTGACGGCGCCAGACGGACATCAGTATCTGGTGATGCTGCCCTCCCGGTCGAGAGGGCCGCAGTCTCCTCGGGCCGGGCCGTCGTGGGGGATGCCTTCGCCGCAGATGGACTTTAAGAGGTCGGCGCTCGAGGGCTCGCGAATCTTCTCCAGGCAGAGCATACCGGTGGGCCTGTACGGAGAACATGACAATGCCACCGACCCGGGGAGGCCTGGCTACGACGGACGCCGGCCACCCCCTGACGACCAAGTGATGGACGAGCTTCCACCAACTCCCCCACGCGGACAGGTCGCTGTTTCCTCCAGCCCTAGACGTCGCACTGACGTCGATGAGCCGCCGTCCGGTCGGACGTCCGCTCTGATGAATCGCGTCCGCTCCGTCTCTCTCAGCCGGATGTCACACTCGCTGCGGCAGATGGTGACGGGCGCGCGTCGTCCCTTCCTCGCGCAGCCGCTCCGAGGAGCCAGAGGAGCCGGCCAGCGGCGCGCGCGGCTCTGCTGCCTGGCTCATGCATAGGATCCGCTCGCTGCGCGGGGTCTCGGAGCAGCCGGGCCTCGGGCCGCAGTCGCAGCGTCGGCGGCAGCAGGAGCGGCCGGCCGCTAGGCGGCAGCAGCAGCGCCGCCACCGCCACCAGTCGTCCGCCAGCCCGTCCGGGTCAGACAGCAGCCTCAGCGGCGCTGCCACCTGGCCGTCGTCCTCGGAGGACCTGGAGGAAGGCGAGTACGTGAGTCCATCGCACCGCAGCGGGGAGGAGGAGGCGAGACAGCCGACGCCGCGCCCCGAAGGCGAAACGGAGGCGGCCACTGCCCAGCGGCAGCGGACGAAATCACCCGAGATGGAGGCGGGCCAGGCGGAGGAGGACAGAGAGGTGGTAATCAAGAAGGGGTTGCCAGAGGTGACCGTACATCCCAAGCAAGAGCCAGTGCAATACGTACTGGAGGAACACAAAGGGCGAAAAAGGATTGTGGCTGTAAACGCAGATCAGCCTGGTGATGGACAAAGCCTGACGGACGACGCTGCGCGCACATCCAAGCTTATCAAAGGCAATGCCGAGAAGAGCGACGAAGAGTTATCTGCTCAAAGGCGTGCTAAAAGGCACAGAGAGCATCTCGGCGCAAAAAAGAGGCGATCAAACGAATCCACAGACGAATCAGCCAAAATAAAAAAGCATAAGGCGAAGAAAAAGAAGAAGAAACGTCGGCGAAAGCGATCTCGATCTAGCAGCACCACCAGCAGCAGCGGTACCAGCTCTTCATGGGAGCAGACCACACGATCATCCAAGAAATATAGACCTTCATTGTGCAGGGAAAGCAGTCATAGCTACTCGGAAGAGTCTGACTTCTCCAATCACTCGGCAGATCATGGAAGTATCGGTCATATGGAGGTGACCTATGAAAACGGCAGGTCCAGGTCGGCTTCTGCTTCCAAAGACTACTCTAGCCGATATCCCACCACGAGAGACGACAGACCGCGAGAGAAAGGCACGCGCGGGCCGCAGGCATGGCACCAACGGCCCAGCTACCCCCACCACCACTACCAGCAGCGGGACCGCCCGCGGGGTGGGTTCGGGGCCTTCGCCGGCCACCAGCGGCGCGGCACCTTCCAGCGGCCGGGCCGCCCCGAGACGCCGCCTGACCGGGAGCCGCCGCCACCCTGGGCCAACTCGGACCTCAACCGGCACGGCCAGCCGCGCCGGCGGCCGGTCGTCTTCCAGAACGACTCCCTGCGCGCCTTCGTCAGCCTGCCACCGCGGCGCGCCACCGAGCGCGGCGGCAGGCCGTCGCGGCCGGGCGAGTGGCCGCCGCCGCCGGCCTGCGCGCCGCGGCCTTTCCAGACCAACCAGTCGTTCCTGCAGCGGTTGCGTCACAGCGAGTCGCCGGTACGAGGCGGCGGCAGCGGCGGTGGCGCGCCGGCCGGCCGGCTGGGGCCGCGCACGCCGCCGCCGCCGCCGTGCCCGCACCCGCCCTCGCCGTCCACCACGCCGCCTCGACCGCCGCCGCCGCGCACCGCTCGCACCGACCCGCGCCTCTGCGCCAGCGCGCGCCAGGCGCACTTGCGCGAGTGCCAGATGAGGCGCGTTGTGTACAGCCAGGCCAGTCAGGAGACCGTGGGCTGTGCGGCCAAGCTTAAACAGCTCTTCGAGGAGTGATGCCGAGTGCCGGGTGTCAAGCGCGGCACGAAAGCCAGGGAGATGTTGTCTGTTCGAGGACTGTAACATGTGCTCGTGTGTGCGGCGTGTCCCCGTAAACGCACATGCAACTGTGGATGTTTGCGAACGTTGTGAGCTTATCGCGGTGGGCGTTTTCACCTTCCTATGAATGTGGTGCTGTGATGTTGATCCGTGACGTGGATGCAAAAATCAAAGCATCCAGTTACATCGAATTAAAATGTGCACAAGTGTTTATTATTGTGGTGATGATGGATCTATGTGATAAGCTGTATTCTCTATCTTCGTTGCCTTTTCCTTGAGAGAACAGTTTCTGTCGGATCAAATTCCTCCGCCGAGGCAAGCAGGATTGGTTTTTGGAACACCTCTAACCGAATAGGAAATGACATGGTCTGCCCATTGCGCTGATAGTCAAAATCAGGATACCTCAAACTTTTCGTTAAAACATCAGGTTCATGAAGACATCGATGCCATTTTCCAAGCATACAAACGTGGAGTGTGACACCTAAGGCAAGACTTAACAGCTCGACTTTGGTGATTCCTCGCGTGTTTCAGTTCAGACACGCATCCTGACGAGATCGTGGCTCGCGACACACTTGTCCAGTATATGCAGGGCTGTGTGGTTGGACAGACGACGACAAGAGCCAGCGGCTGAGGAGCTGCTGTTCAACCGCCTATCTCAAGCGCTTGGTGTCCAGCCTTGTCATACAGCGCGCAGGGCTCGGCGGCACGTGTTTGGTGTCGGGCTCGGTGTCATCACTGTTCACACCCCGCTACAGGCATGTGTTCAACATCGACAGGCATTCAGTCTGACGTCGTGGAGCGCCGTGTGCTCACCGTGGTTTGCTTTCGTGACAGGCAATCTCTACGGTTTGCTGTTTGCCTCAAATATTAGGTACTTCTGTGTGCCAACTGAGGTCATCTGGCTTTCACTGGGCCCATATCTACGAGCCGTTACGCCTAGTATCTATCGTAGCTGATAGGGACAATGGTAAGTGAACTCGTCTTATCATGGCTGTTCTGAATGTGTCTATTGTGACTCCTTCAGTGTGTGCTGTAGTTGACTTCACGAATACATTATCTTCGGGACTTAAATGTTACAACAGGATTAGTTTTGAACTGTGCAGGATGTGGTCATTTCGATTCCTAACAGCCTTGTCTGGCAAGGGTCGTCGAAGAAGTTGTGTTGTATTGAGATACCGAAATAACCGGTTAGCCGTTGTTTGACGTCTGCGGCTAATGTGAGGTGGGTAGCACCGTAACATGTAGCATTTTAGACGTGTACATCTTTGTTTATGTCCGAAATAAAGCAATTCAGTCCTTCCCATACACCAGCTGTTTTGGACAATCTCAACATGTGTTGCCAGACTGAACAAGGTCAACCCGGTGAAGAACAAAATGCATGCAATATATCCATACAGGCGGGCTGTACGCGGGGAAAATACCTGTCCAATGAACCATTGACATGCACTTCACTGCCGTAGATGTTAGATGCGATGCAGCTTCTCGGTCCGGTTGCATTGTTTGGAAATGGTGAACTCAAGCATTGCTCGGCCGTTACCGTGACGCTGGGAAAAGATTCAGTCATTATGATTTGTGAGTGTTATGCTGAAAATAGCCGGCCTTCAGCTTACAGGAGCTATTAGGTCAACGACATTATCAAGCAAGCATTGATTATATCGTGAAATGAAACTCGACGGTGAAAAGCTGTATTCATAGTCATAGGTGACCAGCTTAAGGGATATTTCCATTAAAAAATGGGGGGGGGGACACAAAATATAGAAAATGCTCTGAAACTGTGCCGAGAGTGCATATAAGTTGTTAAAGAACTAGTACAAATTCATGCATCATCATGTGTAAAATAAGGAAAGAAAAATAACAAAAACACCTGGAGCCCAATGTACTGCCTTTTAATGCTTACGTTATGTAGACGGCTAAAGACATCTCAGTGACAATGTCGTTGGAGCGGTGACCTCCAGGATACGAGCAGCGAGCCAGCGTATGTACGCGAACAGCGACTTCGAACACAGCCGTTTCTCAGCAGACGACTGTAAAACTCTGCGATATCAGAATTGTTAATGATTTGTCTTAGGATTGTTAAAGAGTTCGCCACCCAGCGCGTTTGGGCTTTGAGCAGCCCTACCCGACACACACTAAACGCCATCGTTTTGTCGCTGGAGGCAGACTCAGACTACGTGTGCCAGGCCGGTGCCTGTGCGGGCAATGATTCACCATGCGTGTCTACACCGAGCATCTGGGTGTCGCGCTCGATCAGGAGCTGCGCAGAGGGGGCCCCACATGGATGCAGGTCCGCACCGGACGCATCATGTATTGTACGTACTGGCACCAGCGGTTTGCTGGATACCCCGTTCTGGTACCAGCCGGTTTACTGGGTCCCCCGCTCCGGTACCAACCAGTTTGCTGGGTCTCCCGCTCTGGCACCAACCGGTCTGCTGGCTCCCCGTTCTGGTACCAACCGTTTGCTGGGTCTTCCGCTCTGGCACCACCCGGTTCGCTGGGTCTCCCGCTATGGCACCAGCCGGTTCACTGGGTCTCCCGCTCTGGCACCAGCCGGTTCGCTGGGTCTCCCGCTCTGACACCAGCCGGCTTGCTGAGTCCCTGCCTTCCGGCAGAGGAGAGAGCTTTCGTGTGGCGCACCATCGTGGCCCCGACTCTTCTTTTTGGGAGCCGACAAGCTGCTTTGACCGCAGCAGGCACTGGGCGCATGGAGGCCTGGCGGGCACCTACCTTAAAGCAGCTCTCGGACTGCAGCGGTGATCGCACAACCCAGCCCTTCTCAGGCCTCTACGTGCCCCGAAAATACAGGATGAGGGTTAACCCGCTGTGCTCGGTTCGTTCAGCAGCCGGTTTCGCTGTTTACATCGCTTGCGCCAAGCCCTTTCAGGGCTCCAGCCTTGCTTGTCAAATGCCCGGGCGAGCTTGCGGAAGGCTTTGTCGGATCTAAGTTTCCGCTCTGCGGTCAAGACTGAAGGTGGTTAGCATGCTCGGCCCGCAGGAGAATGAACAGCTTCCTCCTTTATGCGACCCCAGTGTGGTGTGATTGAGTCTCGCTGATGGATCTTGAGGAGCGCCGACCCAGAGGCCAGGCTAGTACACCTTTCATATGTGGATTAGTGAGGCGGCCTTGTGGCTTTGTGTGGATTAGAGTGCGGAGTGAGTGTGTGTAATGCATATGTGTATGATTGCACGCTCTTTCGTTAGGTACATACTGTCCGATAGGACGTTAAATGAATAATAATGGTGATGGTGATTACATTCTCAGCCATTTATTTCAAGAGAAAGCGGAGCTGGGTCAGATGGCAGTGACGTTCACACACGCATGTTCTCTGCTAGGAACGTCACAGGCACGGCCTTCGTGAAGTTCCCTCCGCATTCTCAAAGGACAACAAGCGTTCTTAAGTGATCGCTAATGACTACCCATACAGGCGTACAATGCACTCATCAGGGTCACAATACCACGTCAAAACACCAGCTATTATGTCTTTGCAGGAGTCGTGCGCATGCGCGTACCCTGCGCGAGCCAGGCATATCCCTTCTAGTCCCGCCTACGCCTCGATGTGTGGATTGACGGGGCGTACCCTGCGCGAGCCAGGCATATCCCTTCTAGTCCCGCCTACGCCTCGATGCGTGGGTTGACGGGCGACTTCGAGAGCCCCAGCTATTGGCAAAGTTCACCGTTGTTGTTAGTCGTACCCTGCGTGAGCCAGGCATATCCCTTCTAGTCCCGCCTACGCCTCGATGTGTGGGTTGACGGGCGACTTCGAGAGCCCCAGCTATTGGCAAAGTTCACCGTTGTTGTTAGTCCACTGAGCCCTGTTGGCAACGTCAGCACGTCCAGCCATCGGCCGGGCTTCTCCCAGCGGCCGTCCTCGGGCTCTGTGATCGGCCGGGCTTCTCCCAGCGGCCGTCCTCGGGCTCTGTGATCGGCCGGGCTTCTCCCAGCGGCCGTCCTCGGGCTCTGTGTGTAATTGGATCACCTACCAGCCAGCACCGCACGGGCCACACTCGGCTGTGTTCAGACGTGGGGCGTCATGCAGATCACCGACGGACAGAAACGGGACTGTCGGGTTAAGGATGAAAGCCTTGTTTTTTTGTTACGATTCTGAATGACTCTTGACAGGAACCCTGTGGATGATAAGCCAGGCTCCGTCCGTGGCGCTGCGTGCCACGGGTGGAGCCTGCGTGCCTGCGCGCCACGCAGGATGGACGCGGGTGCCACGTGCGTCACTCGTCGGGCTCCGGGTCCTGCAGCGTGTGCCATGCGGCGATGGGTCGGCGCGGCGCAGCCAGCATGTCGGTCCAGTGGCGCAGCTCGGCGCCGCTTGCCATGCTGCCGAGCACGCACCGGCCGATCGGGTCCGACGAGCCGATCCGGTCGTAGTCCACCACCGTCACTACCAGCTTAACCTTCTGCTCGGCAGAGGCGGAAACAGGCCAGGCGATCAGGGGGAGGGGGATTCACCTTCTGCCCGGCCGAGACCAAAAAACGTCAGGTGAACAGCGGGGCTTCACCTTCTGTCCGGCAGAGGCGGAATCCGGTCACGCGAGCAGGGAGGGGAGGGGGCCCTCTGCCTGGGGAAAGCAGAGAGAGTCCGGACGAGACAGATGGGCTCCAACCTCCACCCGGCAGCGGCGGGGGAGTTCTGACAAGGAAGAGTAGCTACTAACTTCACTTTCTGCACAGCCATGGCAAAACAAGATCAGACAAAGCCGAAGAGTCTCACTTTCTGTCCTACTTTCTGTCTTTCTGTTCACTTTCTGTCTGTCCTGTCACTTTCTTTCTGAACACGGTGAAAGGACAAGTGGGACGGTATAGCTCCACCTTTTGCCCGATAGACGCTGAGCGAGGTCAGAAGCAGAGGGGAGCCTAGACCTTTGCTTAGCGGAGGCGGACAATGGCTAGGCGTGGCGAGCATCTCCAGGATAACCATCGCTGTACGTCGTTAGATCATCACATAAAGGTCTTGTGTTACGCAGGGGGGGGGGGGGATCAGCAAAAAGCATTGGAGCATCACGGCCTTATTTAAGTCTGGCTCAGGCTTCCGCTTTGGTAGCGGGCGGAACTCTGCGGTATCTGGGAGGCTGAAACGGAGAACCGATCAAAATGGTGCGATTGCCTGTCAGGTCAGCGTCAGTGCTTCGTGGATTAGCAGGAGGTGATGAGGCCCTCCTGTTCCACTGGAGTACAGCTTGGAAACAGGTCATCGACGACAGCCAGCGGTTATGTAAATTGTAACGAAAAATTGCATTTACCTCGATCTGATTTCTGTTGATCTTGTCGAAGGAAAGGCTCTCATTGAAATACGGATTTAGGGTGTTGCTTTTGACGGAAGTTTTCTTCTTCTTCGGTTTTCGCTTTCCAAGCATCAATTCCACTTTAACGTATGGATCTGAAACCAGATTATTTTCACGAAGTTTGGTAAAATCTGAACATTGGAACTTCATCAGGTGTTGGCACCATCGGACCATCAGGTGTTGGCACCATAGGTGCCATACAGCCACCACCATGCATACAACAACCAAGAGGGGTGACTGCTCCTTTCATCGGAAACCATGGTCATTTTCGATGGGGCTCAAACTTCAGGTGTCAAGCAGGTAATCATGTTCACGCCATCTTGTTGCAAGTTCATCATGCTATCCAGATAACCGCCGGAATGAAGAGTTATGAGAGCGACACAATGAATGCAGTCGCACTCAGCATGGAAAGGCAAAATGGTGACTTCCCCAAACCCATATTCTGACCTGACAAGCCTGTCACATCCATTTTCTTCAAGTTCTTCGCCTCGAGAATGACGATTGTCAATTTTCCAGACGTTGGTACATAGCGTATGGAAAAACAAATGTCTCCCAACTTTTTCTCCTGTTAAACAAAAACACAATTAGCTCAAAGTTTACCCACTGGGCGAGGGGAAAGCCGTCTTTCATAGCTGATCCTCAATATCAATGCGTTATTTTTCCGACCACATAGACCATGAAGATGGCACATGAACATGGACGTACAACACACGTTTCTATACAACCTACCACCCTTCTCTTCATTGTTCGATAACTTGTCCACCCCTATCTAGTGGATGTTCTGTCCTGTTCTGTCCACCACTACACTCCCCGCACTGACCAGTTCGGCGTCGCTCTCTACGCTGACCAGGTTGCGCCACTCCTCGATCACGTTGGCCAGGTCGACGTTACACAGCGGCAGCTGCACCTCACCGATCTGGTCGTGCTTCGAGAACCGGTCGAAATCAAAGATGGCAAACACCAGCGTCTTGTTGATGACGTCAGCGTATGGCATCTGCGGAGGGTCGGCGACAGCGGGCTGATGACTGTGTCCTCGAGTAACGGTAACGCGAGGATGACCTGGGACGAAATTTCACAGGTTTTGGCTCTTTCTCAGGTTTGTCTGAGGCTTTAGTAGTGCTTTACTCGCTCGCCTCCAGAGCCCCCCCCCCCCCCCGTCCCCCCAAGGAGGCATCAGCTCCAGAGGGCGTCGTACGCGGCTCACGAACGAACGGAACACACCCTGCACCTGGCTTCTCTTCAGCACATCTCACTGGTCTTCGTAAGATTATCCGACCAAATTACCTTAAAAGTAAAGGTCTGGTTGAACACGGGATTGAGTGTGTTTTTCTGAACCTTGGTCTCGTGTTTCTTCTTCTTCTCGGGCAACAAGTAGATCTTGACGTAGGGGTCGGACGTGCCGCCGACATCCAGCGCAGGCAGGCCTTCGCATCGGATCACCACCACTGTCAGCGTCTTGGCGTTGAAATCATACTCCAACTGAAAAGGCCATAGCCGGAGGTATTGTAATAAGTGCGGCCCACGGCGTTCTATCCGGGCAAACCATGTGTTTGTTTTTTTCAATGCGCAATTACGGTAAACGGCTTTGGCCGGGCGCTCGCTCCGGACATGCGCGCCAGGGCAACCAGCAGAGAGAAATGAGCAATGAGCAATGAGCAATGAGCAATGAGCAATGAGAGACATTTGAAATACGCCGATCCCGTCAGAGGGCGGAGTGGAGAGCATTCACTGGTATTCGCACTGGGGCGGAGGTAGGCTCGAGACTCGATCGGCCCGGTGTGCACCGACCGATGGGCGCTCGGCGAATACACGTTTTCAACCATGTAACTCCGGCGGGTGAATCATCGGCCTTTTGGCGGTTTACTTAAAACACCGGCCTTTTTAAACCATGCGTTGGATTGAAGGTAGTCTAAACATAAGAACGTTCTGCAGGATTTTTAGCCCCGCCATGATTCGCCGTGTTTTATTATGCGGTTTGATGGTGAGTTGATAGGATCCCTGGCGTTTCCAAACTCATGAAGTTAAAGCTAAGCAGAAAGCACCAGTAGACTGTTCATGACGAGATCTCGCGCATAGCACTAATTTTATGTTGTTGGGCCAATAATTGATCTCATCATGGGAGGACAAGGGTCTAATTTTCCCAAAAAACTGTACTTTTCAACTTTACTACATCATATCTACGAGACGGTGTCTTGTGGGGACACAAAACTTTAACAGGTATGCTTCTTGTTTCATTCTGATTACAATGGTGAATATTTATGTGTTTGGGCATGCAGTTAGGATAGAGTTAAGATGATGCGGTCGCACAGGGGTGTAATTTCCTATTCAGTTGGGAGTTTCAAGCCCCCCAACGTTGACAGAAAATTAGACAAGATATGGGAGGAAACCCGTATGTCGGCGAGTTTTGAAAGTATAATACCCTGTAATACCCCGTGCCCGCGCATTATTTCTGATCCGTTTTATGCCGTGAGCTCCATTCGTGTTTGTATCGCATATTCCTCATAAGCTAGCATGATGTGTCGATGTGCCGTTAATGTGTAGTGTTTAATCGCGTGCTGGCCATGTCTGATGTCACTGATGTCACTCAACGCGTCCCATTGAGCAGCCTTTGGGAAAATAACAGAATTCCTGGTCATTCATAGATTTTCATCAGTTCGCTGTGCCGGATTATTGATGACAAGATCATCAGTCAGTCACTACATACACTGTCGCAGATCATGACTTCACCGATTCAAGCTGCTGTCACCCTTGTCATTTGATTGTACATCTGCGCTGTTGATTGCCTTCAATGAGTGTTTTCATCCAAGTGCTGTTGAGGAGGCAGATGAATGCATAATGTGCGTCATTCGTCTTTTGTGTTCGGTGGGGCAGACGCGTCGTAGTCAGGCCCCTATTTCTAAATTGAGTTATTCATCTTGCATGCTGCGTTGGAGCGGCTGGCAATATTTCACGAATTCAAGAGACTGTTTGCATCATGAAAGGCTCAATGCATCACAGGTGCTTCACTTCATTACTTCTCGCAGGCAGCGACGGAGGAAGTTGCTGGTTACTGAGTACAGATTCCGAGGTTCGCGTGTCGTATGGTTGTGTGGTTCCGCTTATATTTAAGGAGATCAGATTGCTACACTTAGAATGAATACTTTGTGTAGTGACCTCATAATAGACACTCCTTTAATATGAGCGAGAAAAGGCATGCGTGAGACGGTGTAAAGGTATGAATGCTGGTCGCAGAATCCCACTAATGTGGCGTTTGCTGACAAACATATTGGTAAGAAATTATATTTTTCCTAAAAACCCGTACATCATCCGGAAGTAACGTTTTCGCCACCATTTGTAGCCTCTCCCGTCTTGCCAGTTTAAGGTAGAAAATTTCCTTTAAAGCAATGATCTGCGGATCAGTACGATAGGTCAACGAGCTAACAGCCGGCAATTACTGCGGCGTGCAACAGCATGCAATTAGTCCAACGAGTACAATCATTGCTAATAGGTGTATTAGTTCCAATGAGAGTCTTTTGTGCAGCTGGTTATTGTCACAGGTACAGCTGAACTAAACAGCTAGTATTAAACACAAACGCAAGTTTTGCTCCGACTGAGAGGTTTCCTCACTTGGCTGATTGGGGCCTGCAGCCTTATGCGCAAAACATCACGCATTGCACAATGTCATCAGCGAGTACGTACTTCAAAACTTTATAAAAGACATTCTTTTTAATAAGTAAATTAGTCACGGCGGTTGGCTACTTTATGAAAGTTGGGCTTTGGAAACATCGTGATTGTCGTTCGTACCGGTACATTGAGTGTACATTGTGCAGCGCATTTCACATTTTGACTTGGTTGGATGAAAAAATGACTACATTGCGTGTCGTTATTATCTGCGTCTAGCTTGCGTTGAAAAGAACAGCCTGCCCGCAAATAAGCCACTACTGAGGATGATCAACGTTGTCTACGACTTCTAATGCCCCGTCGTCGGCTGCGCGCATCGACCACGCTCGTACGTTGGACATACTGCGGCCGCATTATCAGGACAGATGGCGTTGCACCTCCAAGACAGCGCCAAAGCGGCACGTAACATCGACTCATGGAAGGACACTGTCTGGATCTGAATTGGTGAGAAGTACCACCATACTGGCTAAACGCACGCAAAAAGTGGGCCTGAAAGTACCAGGAGTTCTTACATCAGGGCCAAAGGCCAAGCAATCAACCGACAAATGGATATTGGAGCACAGTGTGGCTGTGGAATAGGAAACCTCCAGCACGTCGAAACAGGCCGCAAAATTGGGGAGGGCGAGGCGACAGAGCCGGATAAAGATCACTTCTGTTCTAGTCATACGACGCACCCACTCACACAGTGCATAATATCAGCCTTTTTATCAAGTCGAGTGACCTATTTTGAGGAAGAAAAATACACAAAAAAGATTTGAGCCGCTGCGACCACGAGTGTTTTGTTTATTGTTGTTTTGTGTAGTTGTACCGATGTGTAAAGATTTTGGCAGGACTGATGCGATGGAATGAAACGTTGCAAAGTAATATAGGCAACCTTCGTAACAGGTTTTTCGATGATGAGAGATGATTAAATCGCAGAAATGAATTATCACCTGAAAAGCAAGTTCCCGTCAAATGCGTTTCCATTTTCAGTGAAACATATATCAAGGAAAACCAGATCCCTGACTTTAATAATATATATATATATATATATATATATATACATATATGCCTATATACAAATATATTTCATGCCTGGGAAGCATCGTTTTTGTAGCACACGAATGGTGCATGCCTGTTACATGCGTATGCCTATACAAACACGGGCGCTCGCACTCCACACCCGCCCTTCTCTGCCGCGCGGTCGCACGCTTGCGTTACGTGCAACAACACGCGGGAGCCTCGTGCTCTACGCCTTGGCGGCGGCCTCCGCGCGACCGATGGCCTCACGCATGTTTGTTTATCTATACGAAGGTTCCATTCACGGATGTTTGTGGTTTATCGAGACCTCGCCCACTCAAGGCTCAGCAACTGATGTGCAGGGGTTGATATATGGCCATGGTACGGTCGTCTTAACATGGGTGATAAGGGCCCGAACCGGCGTACAACCAGCGTGGTGAGAGCTAACACCCACACCACCCATCGCACCACACCCACCGTGAGCTGAAGAAGCGTGGTAAGAGCTAACACCCACACCACCCGCAACACCACACCCACCGTGAGCTAAAGCAGCGTGGTAAGAGCTAACACCCACACCACCCACCACACCACACCCACCGTGAGCTAAAGCAGCGTGGTGGGAGCTAACACCCACACCACCCACCACACCACACCCACTGTGAGCTAAAGCAGCGTGGTGAGAGCTAACACCTACACCACCCACCACACCACACCCACCGTGAGTTAAAGCAGCGTGGTGAGAGCTAACACCCACACCACCCACCACACCACACCCACCGTGAGCTAAAGCAGCGTGGTGGTAGCTAACACCCACACCATCCGCCACATCACACCCACCGTGAGCTAAAGCATTGTTCGTCATGTGTTTACGCACGGTAGACTCCATGGGATATGAGTGAAACGGACACTAGTTTACTGTGACTATGACGTACGTACTGCTCCATCTACATTACAGCACCTGATACCAAGTGACAGAACGAAGAAAGAAACGCGTACAGCTTGTTTTATACAAGCGTGGTATCACTAGGTGCAAAGATGAGGAGAAGGGTCCGCGTAGCGCTGCCTATCGTGTGAGGTTGACCAAAAAAAAAACAACAACAAAAACGAAACCAAAAAATATCAACGGCGGCATCAAACTTAGTCCTGTTTGCCCAAGCCCTAACACATCACCCCTGACCACGGCAGCGGTGCTTCGCACGGTTTGGCGCCACTCACGCGGACGCTAGGTATAAGCATGCACCGCGGAGACCACGTGGTTCTGCCTAACAGGTCAAATATCGGCCAGAGAACGGCGGCACTCTCCAAACATCTGACCGGATACCCGGGAATGGGGATACTGCATGCACCAGGAAACCCATCGCACAACCTACCAGGCAGGGTAAAGTGTAAATAACAGCACAGCTAGCGATCCATAGCACATCTCGCACAGAGACGGTGCGTCATAACATTAGAAGCTATCTGCAACGCAAATGGGAACCGCTCACCAACAGATTGATAAACGTGAAGCCCCCACCTGTACTACGTTCTCTTTAGGTAGTAGAGTTTTACATGGGGGCATACATGGTCAGACGCTGAGTACCGCGCGCCACCGATGAACGTCGTCACGTGTGAAATATGAATGTGCGTGCGTGCGTACGTGCGTGCCTGTGTGTGTGTGTGTGTGTGTGTGTGTGTGTGTGTGTGTGTATGTGTGTGTGTGTGTGTGTGTGTGTGTGTGTGTGTGTGTGTGTGTGTGTGTGTGTGTGTGTGTGTGTGTGTGTGTGTGTGTGTGTGTGTGTGTGTGTGTGTGTGTGTGTGTGTGTGTGTGTGTGTGTGTGTGTGTGTGTGTGTGTGTGTGTGTGTGTGTGTGTGTGTGTGTGTGTGTGTGTGTGTGTGTGTGTGTGTGTGTGTGTGTGTGTGTGTGTGCACGCACATGAAGTGTATCCGGACCATGCGTGTGTGAAGAAAATACGCTGTCTTTGCGACATTAGATATATGGACAAGATGTATATATATAAACATATAAATATATATACAGAGAGAGAGAGAGAGAGAGAGAGAGAGAGAGAGAGAGAGAGAGAGAGATATATATATATATATATATATATATATATATATATATATATATATATATATATATATATATGTCTATATCTATAATGCAAAGGAGTCAGATGAAGCTGCTCAGCGGAGCGCGTTGTCCCCGGTGCCAAAGGCACGACCGTATTCAGAGATTCGAGAGAGCAAATCAGGAACCTGGAGGAACAATCTAACATGAAACGGTGCTCAAAGTTGTTTATGTCCGTTACTTGCGGAGGTCGCTCTGATCGCCACGCTTCAGGTAAACCAAGATCTTTATTTTTGGTGTTCGCTGCTTTTTCTCTTTATCATATCATTTTTATGCTATTTTTAACGAGAGTGATGTGAAATCACTGCGCGCATTTGTGGGGAATATGATAAATATATTCGTACTTGCATACGCCATGACAGCCCATTGCTTGGACTGGCCAAAAAGGAAAAAGTGCACCACTATGTCGGAAGGTAGAATGCATAATTTGGGCCAACAAATGACTAAAATCCATGCGTTCAGCACAGCGTGTTCGTACGTCAGTGCCACTCCCCAGTGTGATTGCTAGATGCAAGTGGTTCTATGTTTCACCAGAGTATATTTCTGAAGCATGCCCCAGGGTGGGACACGCGTGAGAAATGAGCAGGCTCGAGCATGATGACGCGCTAAAGCTAACCCGCAGAGCTGACAAGTAGCGCGGCACAGCCTACCTACAGCGCTACTAGGGCACGCGATGGAATAAGCCTGGCGCTGTGGCCGTCTCCCGCGTCCACATGCCTTGTTGCTTCGTCATTGGGGCTTAACGACGCCTCCAGCTGCTGAGGATATATGGCGTCGCCTGCCTCGCACTCTGGCAGGGAATGCGAGCGTCGCGGGGAATCGAACCGCGTACCTCTAGTTTCCCAGACGCGCAGTTTAAACGCCACTCTATGGGTGCTCTTCCCTGTTGTTACAGAGCAGAACCGCCCCTATTTTAAAAGCGAATCGCTGTGGGGGTCGGGGGATCAGGTACCTTTTCGTGAGGAAATTGCTAAAATGATGATATGCGCAAAAACCATCCTCACCGGCCACAGCTGCAAACAGTAGACCATTTGACGCGGAGGAGTCCACTTACTTGTCACAAACACGTCACAAACATGAGAAACAGTGATTTGTGTACCTTTGTCGCAGTCTTGGCGCTTTTCTTCGACAATCGAAATTCGTCTGCCGGAATTTTTTAGGAATGTCTGAACACAAAAACACAAACATATGTGCGCTCACCTTCTGTTTGCTTTTTCTAGTTTTATTTACGAAAAGATACCTCACCCTAGATGCACGCCCGACGCCGTCTGGGGCGTGCCAGGGACCTGCTCGGGCGTGAGCTGCTGGCAGAGAAACGTAGCAGAGGCAACAAAATAACTTTGAGGAAGGGGAGGGAGATTTTGCTTTTTATTAAGGAAGGGGGCTAAGGAAGTCACTGGTGGCCACTTTCCTTATATCAACATGTCAAAATAGGGCCTGGAATAAAGTGGTCACAATCGCTCAACAACAGCTGCCTACATGTCAGATTACCACATTAATTAAGTCCCCCTGCAGTGTTGAAACACACATGGTTGTGCCAATCCAAGCAAAAAGAAGAAGATAGCGAGGCAGCGAGACAGCTTGGAATAGACAAGCTCTACATGAGAAGCAGGGTCTTGTTTTTCAGTTATTGGTACCTTGCCGCTGACGAACAATCAAGGCCTGAGCACCGACTGCTGGATATTGAGTGAAGCCTGGAAGGAGCTAACCGGCATTGCAAGAATCACTGGGGTACAGTCTTTACCTGTGATTATTTGTGTAGGGTGAAATTGGGCCTGTGCCAAATTCCATTCCAGTTCAAGGCTACACTAACGACTTTGACCTAGAGGTTAGAACTTTAAAATTAGACGTCTGAAAGTGCACACAAAGTTTTCAGCACATAAGGAGCAAGCTTGCTACTTGAACCTCGACTTGGAACCTTGACGCAAAGCTTGAATAACTCAAAACTTGGAGCTGTAGTGTTTGAAATAAGGCGTTGACATTCTCTTCATGTAACGAGTCCCAATGCCGTCAATTTGTGTAAATTATTCGGGAGGGGGGAGGGGGGCAGAGCCAAAGGCCCGACAACCAAAGCATCACACACGTATGGTTTTCAATGGGTTTAGACGATTATAGTTTGCTGTGTGGCAAAACAGCATGAGTTGCCAAATAATGCTACTTTCGGCAGTACTGTAGCCGTTACCATGGGCTGATAAAAATATGTTTTGTATGATGGTGAATTTCTTCTCATTTTTGAAAAAAAAAATGCAGCACCAAACCAGCCTTGGAGGATCAAGCCAACTTGGGAGGGGGGGGGGATAGGTTCCTCACGAAAGATCTACAAGTTGACATTCCTAAGGATTACGTCACAGTTTATTTGCTCAAAGATCCTCTTTGCCTGGCGATTACTCAGCGAGTAGGTTAGTTGGTTTAGTAACCCTGGGCTTTTTTTATACATAACTTGGGTAGGCGCAAATTTACGATTATTGTCGTTGTCAATCTTTTCTACTTGCTAACTGTTCAGTGTCCAAAACGTGCCATTCATTTTTAGGTTTATCTCTTTATGGAAACCTGAGATAACTTCCCACTTTACTAATCCATATCTTTTACCCACCGTCCATTAGACCTAATGAACACAAATACGAGAGCTCACTAGGCTTGACATCAAAACCATGAAAAAGCACGAGGTACCGTCCTGCAGATACGCCAGATGTGTGTGCAGAGGCACGTGGCCTTACGCCACACACACATCAGCGAAAGGGAAGAAAAGGAGCGCGGAAACCGTTGATGACAAAAACAACAGCTTTAAACCAGGAGGCTTAATGAGCACAGAGAAACTGGAGGGGGAGAGGGTCTGATGAAAAAACGCCGTCTTAGTGAGATGCGGTGCCACACAAAAACATGCATTAAATTGCAGTTATCTTAAGTTGGAACAACCCAACTCCACCCCCGCCCGCCGGGTCTGTGAGCCAACTCCACCCCCGCCAGCCGGGTTTGTGGGCCAACTTCAGCCCCGCCCGCCGGGTTTGTGGGCCGGGTTTCCTTACCTTGAAGTGGATTCGTCCGAGACTCTGATCCGAGGAATCGCCGACGCCGCCGTCGAGTGCGTCATCGCCCGACTCCTGCCCGCCGGAGTCCTGTAACAAACCGTGACGCGTCACGGGGGCCGCCGTCGCAGCCGTCCCAAGCGTCCGGGGTTCTGTGACGGAGCGTGACAAATTAACTGGCAGTGAGCAGCACGACCGCTCCTGCTGCCCGGGGTTCGTCAGCGACCGTGCCGCGTCGCATATGCTGTCCGTCACAGCTGACTGTACAGCCCGGGGCTCTGTAGACAATCGTGATATATAACTGATCACATGATGACTTCCACTGCACAGGGTCATGCAACAGGCCGTGACGTGTCACTGGTCACATGATGACCTCCGCTGCACGGAGTCACGCAGCAGGCCGTGACGCGTCACTGATCACATGATGACTTCCACTGCACGGGGTCATGCAACAGGCCGTGACGTGTCACTGGTCACATGATGACCTCCGCTGCAGGGAGTCATGCAGCAGGCCGTGACGCGTCACTGATCACATGATGACCTCCGCTGCACGGGGTCATGCAGCAGGCCGTGACTCGTCACTGATCACATGATGACCTCCGCTGCACGGGTTCATGCAACAGGCCGTGACGCGTCACTGATCACATGATGACCTCCGCTGCAAAGGGTCATGCAGCAGGCCGTGACGTGTCACTGGTCACATGATGACCTCCGCTGCACGGGGTCATGCAACAGGCCGTGACGTGTCACTGGTCACACGATGGCCTCTGCTCCACAGGGTCACGCAGTAGATCGTGACACGTCACTGGTCACATGATGACCGCTGCACAGGGTCTTGCAGCAAGCCGTGACGTGTCACTGATCACACGATGACCTCCACTGCGCGGGGTCATGCAGCAGGCCGTGACCTGCCCCCAGTCGTCACGGCTTCCTTGGCAGCCCATTTGGTTCCATGGTATGGGTCCACAGCCCAACACCCAGATCTGACGTCACTTGATGACGTCACCAGTGGCCCTGCCAGCACTTTGCAACGACACTGTCATCCTGCGAAACTTTATTTTCTGGCCAGGGCTTGTCCACACATTGAGATGACACCAGAGCCGGTAACACTAAACGCGCGCACCAACTGGTGATGCCCGCCTGTCTGAGTGATCTCACCTTGCCCTTCGACGCGCTGCGGGAACGATTCACTTTACGCTCTCCAGACTCCTCGTCTTCCGTGTTTCCGTCATTGCTTCGGAATGGGCTCAGACACCGACGGATGCAGCAGAAACACAGCGCTAGGATCAGAATTCCAAATCCTGCGACATAAAAGTACGAGTTTATGCGAAGATTACAAACCTATTTTGACTGATTTGGAAGCCCACAGACCTCGATTCTGTGCGCCTCAATTTGACCTAATCTAGTGCCGTGTAGATGCTCAGATGCCGCATGCCACGTAACTCATCCTTACGGAGCCAAATACCCATACAATGCTATGCGTCCATTGTGTGATATATGTATACTGCAAGAAAATTATGTAATGCCATTTTTGGAATGAGATCCAAGACGTGATGATGGTTCTAAAAGAGCCAAGTGACCCAGAAATTATCACATTAAATATATTTCTTAAACATTCATCGGGTGTCTCCACTTTGTTTTCTTCCGACACGAATGCCACGGAAGACACATTTACCAACAAAGCTTGCTGACCGCGCGCACGGTGCGTGTATACAGCGGCAATCGGCAGCGTAATACCTAAGACAACGCACTTATCTCGATCAATCGCATCACTTACGTTTGAAGCAGTTGTCCTGCTTCTTCGGAGGCGCGTCCAACTGCTGGTACATGATCGCCTGCGGCCATGCCCCGCCGCGTCACTGGGCCATGCCTCGCCGCACCACACCTGCCGTGCCGCGCGCGCGCGCCGTCTCTATCTTGCGACTTGCGACAGGCCGACACCCGGGAACCACGCGCTGCCCATTCCGGACTGCCTCCGCACGCCACGGCCGCCAGCTGCGCGCCACCACCACAGGTGCGTCGGCCTCCGCGCAGCTGTGATCCAGTGACGTCACTCCAGACGAGGGCTGGCCGCTGTGCAGGCCGTGACCGGCCCGCGGTCAAATGCCGCTGCCGCATGCCATGCGGGGCTGGGCCAGAGCGGTCAGTCCTGTCGCCTGGCCCTTATATGGTCTGTTTCTGCTCAGGTCAATCAATGTAGGTGCAGAATGTGAAAAGGACGCCGATGTCAAAAGATTCATTGGGATGACGTTTATTTTCGGGCACGCTGTCAGGAATTTGAGCTGTGAGCACAATGGACCATGGCTCGCGTCGCTGTGAAGCGCCTTTTCATATCCAATACTCATTTCTGCTTGCCGTTCAAGTGAACTGCTCTTGGAAGCTCCCGAACTGCCGCGCTTCTGACAGTTACTGATCATCGACCAGCTGCGCTTTTGACAATACGGGCCATCGTCCAGCCGCGATTTTGACAATACGGGTCATCGTCCAGCCGCGCGAATGCCCTACAGAGACAATAGGTTTCTCGACAGTATGGGAGCGCTCTTCTTAGCTCCAGATGTGCGTGCCGTGGCTCCAAAGGCTGGCATGCCCAAGGAGCCTTGTGACGCATCGTGCTGCCGTGCTGGAGTCAGCGCAGCGACCAGCCGAAGCCGGCCACTGGCAAACTGGCCACACGCAAAGAGCACGGGCCCTCGACTGAGGGTAGTTCCTGTGCCATGACAAGGTATTATACCGCAGACAACTGCCAACGTCGATGAGAAATTTGCGGTTGGATATGGAAGGGCGACCGTTTTGGGCCTTTCCGACGCTTTTCACCGCCATATCTCGCCGACCAGCTGGCTTTGTCAGAGACTTGTCGGTCGCGACATCATCTCCGGTGCCATCGGTCCTAGTCTTAACAAAGTTCGATGGTTATAAGCTGTTAAGCGCAGCCTGTAACCATCAAATCACCAGCTCGGGACGGCACCTTATGCAGGTGCTTAAAGGCCACGCTGTCATCTTCAGGTTTCGCTGGCGGCTGAATGATGCGGTTGCCGCAGTGCGACGCATGGGTGCTGAGGGTTCCCTGCTGGGCACGCTGGTCCCACCGAGGTGCCAAACACTCCGCCAGGCACAGACACCATTCTCTCTCCTTCCCTCTCTCTCTCTCTCTCTCCTCTCTCTCTCTCTCTCTCTCTCTCTCTCTCTCTCTCTCTCTCTCTCTCTTCTCTCTCCTCCTCTCTCTCTCTCTCTCTCTCTCTCTCTCTCTCTCTCTCTCTCTCCCTCTCTCTCTCCTCTCTCTCTCTCTCTCTCTCTCTCTCTCTCTCTCTCCCTCTCTCTCTCGTTCAGTGCTGATTACTTCAGCCAC